GGAAATAGACTGACAAGGGAAAAACCACACGCACTGGACTTGAACAAGCTAGACAGGGACTTTTACAGACTATTTTTTAATGCATACAGAGAAATAAAAAACCAATGTGAAAATTACTAAGGAAGTAGGAAAATGTATTTTACGAAATAATAGAGACTATGAAGATAAGAAATAGAGCTGGGCATGGCTGCTCATGCCTGTGATTACAGCTCTTAAAACGATGAGTTAAAGGGCAGCCTAGACTATGCAGGACAAGGCTAGCCTAAGCTACATGAGACTCCCCTCACTCCACCAACCAACAGAAAACATAAGCCGGGTCACAGCTAACTGAAAACTGAAAGCTAAAATTGAATAGAAATGATTTGTGAGGGCTGGAGAGCTGGTCTGCTTTTCCAGAGGACTGGGGTTCCCTTGCTAGCACCTGTGTGGTGGTTTGCAACTGCCCACAGCTCCAGCTCCAGATGGCCCAGAGCCCTCTTCTGTCCTCACACAGCGCCAGGCATGCACATGGTGCACATACATGCAAGCAAACACACACACACACACACACACACACACACACACACACACACACACAAATAAATCTTAAAAATATAAGCACAAATCAAAGTGAACTAGAACACTATATAAGTGATGTAAGCCATCCAGAAATAGACTCTAGTAACAATTCTAATTACTCTAACATACAGTAGAAGAGGCCTGTGGGGAAAGGCTAGTTTTTACTAGGAGAAAAAAAACTAGAGCTCACCAGCACAGTCAAAATGTATGACAAATTGTAATACATATTCTTTGGAAATGAGTTAAAACTAAATTTTAAAAAACTATTCAGTTTACTAACCAGTAAGGACCCCTTCTTGGTCTCTAGCTTCTCAGCTAAAGGTAATGGCAAAATAGTAACTGAAACACAAGGCAGCTAGAGGACAGAGGTAACTTCTCACTACCATGCAGTAAACTGGAGGAGGAGAGTGGGGAAGGAAGCACAGCTCTCTGTTTCTTGGCAGAGAGCTACTCTGTTTGTCTGTGCGGCATGGTCCCCTGAGCAGTGCACGGGGAGTCACCACTTGCTACACATTTTGGTTAAGAACTTCAGAAAATTCATCGATGTCTGAAATCTGGCCCCTCCTCAGATTAGGAAGTACAAGTTAGTCCCAGCCAACCTAGTTTCTGGTTAAAATCATGAACTACGAAATCCCTTAACTATTACATTCTCAAAGGTTTCACTGCATCACAATAGACGGTAAGTAGATTTGCTTAAGTAAAATTGGCAAGCAAACCTCTCAATCAAATTAAGACATCAGCGAGGCTTTAGCGATACAGTAAACGGTTTATACTGAAACAATGGGGGGGTGGGGATCAGAGTTCTGGTGACTAAGAAGCACAGACAAACCTAACTCTGACTATTTTACAGCTGAGAAACACAGGCAGACATCATCTGAGCGTCCTTAGGAACTAGGCACCGTTTCCCAACCTTTCTTTATTGTTTAAAACTTAAAATGATGCTGTTAAATTCTTCCTGAGAAGAGTCTAAGCAAGCCACAGTACAAAGTGACTAAATGACTGGCAGCTGTCCAGACCATCAGACTTCCCCCTTAGTCTCCCCATTCTTTATCTGACAGAGGCTTCCTCAATGCAGGAACCCTTTCCTTTGCGGCCTTATTCCTTACTTAATTCTAACTCTTGATGTCTATGCCTAAATCAGTGTCTCTTTCAGCTACAAACACTTCACAAGTCCCTTTGCCTATGCTGAGCCCACTCCCCCTTCTCGGCCCCCTCGCTCAGTACTGGATGCCTCACTTCCTTAAGGAGGCCTTTTCTGCACTCTCGGAAGGCAGACCCACTGCCATCTGACTTACGGCACAGTTAGTTCTCCTCTTCACTAAAATCACACTTATCTGTACACTTAGTTCATTAGTTTCCTTTAACCTTTGTACTAAAAGCTTTCTAAGAGGAGTAGTGTAGCAGCAGCAATATACAATACCATCCACCCGACTCTTCAGTGCACAGCTCAGGGTGGACCGTGTCACTTAAGACAAATGACAGTCTGAGCTTTCTTAGTGAACTCACTGCAGAGAGACAGTTAGATACCCTGTCCTTTCTGAAAAGACATGGCCTCCTCACAATGTGCTAACTGCAGGGCATAAACCCCGATGTCTAGAGAATCCAGCCTAAATGTCAATGCCCAGACCTTTCGTGGCCATTTCACACAGCTTCTTGGAGGTAACCTTATCAATACCATCTACTTACTTATTATGTGTGTAATTCTAAATAATATTTGGCTACATGTTGGAAACACCTCTTGCTGTTAGCCTCATTTCTAGAACACTGGCTCATACTGAAGCACCTGGAGTTCAGGAACATAGACCTGAAACTCACACACTGACTACTATGTAAATGACAGAGAAATGGTGTGTAACATCGCTAGAGAATTCTGGAGGAAGCTGACTTTTACCCCTACAATTCTGTCACTTGGTGGTACTCATTCTGAGTCCCTGAGGAACACTACTGCATATGGAAAACAGCATCTGACATCTCTGTAGAAGTCCAGCGTACGGGGAATATCACCAGTCCCGGAATTTTAGATTCTTATTGGCTCATCTGGCCAAGCTACATTCAAGTTGCCTCACTCATAATTATGTTACATAAATGTGATAAGCTTAACTTACAAACAAAACATAAACTGTTGACACATCAGACCTGGGTCTAGCTGCTAATTCTACATTTCCTCTGAACTCTCCTGGGGAAGTGACAGGAGCCTCTTCAGAGTGAACTATTTTAGCAAAAATTACTTTTTGTCTATTAACCATGGGCTCTGGGTTTTCTTTAAATATTCTTACTAATGTCAAGTCCTTTGTGTTTGTGTGTGTGATGCTCAGATTCCGTGTTAATCAAAATGCTGCATAAATACAATCACTAGAAAGTGGAAGCCAAGACCTGAGGCTACTACTAGAATATAATTAGGAAAAGAAAGGGAGGCCCCATTTTCCTTTGGTCAGGGCATAAACAACAAAAACAAACAAACAAAAAACACTTAAAAATGTAAGAAAGAAATGAAGAAAGCTAAGATACAATAAATTACCGAAAACTATAAATCTAAAATTTTGTTATTTACTTACATACCAACTTTTTTATTCAGATTTATTCAGATTCAACTCAGAACCAAGATGGAAAGGAAGAAAGGCTTGTAAGGCAACTAAGAAACATCCAGTGCCCTGCTCCTTCCCCGCCCCCACACAGGAAAGGGCCTGCAGGAAGCTTGGTTCTCATAGAACCTCCATCTGGCAGCCAGGTCTAGTGAAGTCAGTTCTGAGAATTCTCTTAAGTTCCCACTTTCTACCTGATGACAGAATTGCATAAAAACCATTCTCTCAAGTCAGGGTGGTAACACACACCTGAAATGCTACTATCTGAAAGCCTGTGAGTTCAAGGTCAGGCTAATCTACGATGTAAAGCCTGTCTCCAAAACAAAAGACCATCTCTTCTCTATGCTCCCCCCCAACACATGCACTCTCCACACCTTTTCCACACCTGATGCTTCTATGTGGTGACACTGAAGCAGAAGATAACCTGACCTCACAAATGTCCCTGAAACAAAATAAAAAAGGAAGGCCTCTTCTCAGACACCTGCACTACTGGACAACTATAACTCTTAAATTCAATTATATCTCACAATCTAGGCACCCTGTGAGGCTGTGGAATACTTGACAGCAAGCTACTAGAGAGCTCACAGCATATGAAAGTATGAGTTAACAGAACTTACGTGCAGGGCGCTTTTCTGGACACTGGGGGACTGAGCATGAATGTAACAGTGCCTTTGCAAACCTATAAACCTTGCAAATAACACCTGCAACGCTAACTCGGAGTACTAATGCTTTCAATTTCTGCTATTAAATGATTTGTCATTAGAGTAGGAACCCTGCCTCTAAAATACTATCAAGACACTCTACAGTGTCAGCAACTGACTCCAAGACCTCATGTTTGCTAGTACTGAGCACGCTAGTACTGAGCTACACCTGCAGCCCTCAAGGTTTATTTAGCATTTGGCACACATCAAGCAGAATCCTACCTTGACTTTGTGTCAGTTTGCTGTAAGCCTGCCTACCAGACCTGAGGTCTACAGTCCTGATACTCCTCCCCATGGAGGCTCATTCTCCTCAGGAGCAAACACGGAATTAGGAAATAGCAGACTCCTTGGGGAGACAGGTGATCTCTGTGAGACTTCATCACAGTTGATCACCAGCAAACACAAACCAGGCCTGATGTACGCATGCTTCTGTCAGAAACAGCAGGGTGCCCAGGACCCACCTTGAGCAGCAAAAAATAAAATCAGTAAAAACAAGAAGAGTAACAGCAGTCCTAAGTCAAGTGCACAGAGGATGCTGCTTGCTGACAGCACTGACGGTGCTGCTTTGTCGTGTTGTGGAGGGGAACACACATCAGGCAAACTAAACATTTCTCCCACTTTTCACACCCACATAACCCCAGCACTGAGTAGGCTCTGAGGAGAGTCCAAGGCCAGTGGGGCTGCTGTGGGCATCCTGTCTCAAAAGCTAAGAAGCCTTGGAGCTTGGGACGCAGTTCAGCTGACACAATATTGGCCTAACACACACAAGTTCTGGGTTCCCAGTGTAGACCCAGACACACTGGGGACAGATGCAGTACTTAAGAGGCTGAGGTCCATGTTCAAGGCCAGACTACACTAGGTAAGTTCCAAGCCAGTCTGTGCTACTTGAGACTCTCTCAGCAAAACAGTCTTCAAACATGCTTCCTGTGTTATCTTAGCGGTTACAAGTAGCACACAGCTGAATCAGCCAGTACACTGGACATAACTAGTAGCAACTATGAATCAGTCCCTGAAATGCAATCTCCAATTCTATTACCAGCAAAAGACATATCTGAAAAACCTGGATGTAAACCCAGATGCTAGTAGGTTCCCGTACAAACCAGTGCTTCCAGATGATGTCCAAAGCTTTTAAAACATTTTTCATAATGTTACTTCCTACCTGATATATTCTAAAAGGGATATAACGAAATCCATTTTCTTCTGGAGGATATTCCATGAGTTTCCGGTTGATGGCCCAAAACTGGTCAAATCTGTCTGAAATGAAATAAATTCTGTTATTAAGAATAAACATCATAATCGGTTAGCTCATAAAAAGACACAAAAGTCTTAACCATGCAGAAGTTCCTGAAAAGCATTAAGACATTGTTTGTAATTTTTCTCTTAATGTTAACAAAAGGAAGATATGAAATTAATCTTTAACATCTTTTTTTCCTCCCAAGATAAACCCTCAACAGGTATGTGACTTCTGTTATCAAGGCGAAGGCCAGCAGTAGAGACAGACTGACTCTGGTCTAACTTCCTCTGCTAATCTATATAAGAGCAAACTCGAACAACGTGAATATTAATCAGCACTTATACAAACAACAGTGTAGAAGAGCGTAAAGAAATGTGGAGCCTGGTGCTGGGGCAAAGTCTGTATAGAATTTGTCTTGAAAGCACAAGAACCTGAGTCCAGTCTCCTAGAACCTATGCAAAACTGCCAGGCACGGTGGTGCCCGCTTGTAACCCCAGCACCGGGCCAGGCACTTAGCCTAACTGGCACACTAAAGGTAAGGAAGGGCTCACACATACAGGGGTGGGGGTGTCGAGCACGGACGGATGTAATCCCCTGGCTGAATTGGCTTGCCTAACATGTACAAAACCCTGGACTCAATCCACAGCGTGTGGTGAGGGAGGATGGGAAACAATATATAGAATGTGCATGTGTGAAATGTCAACGGCAGCTCAATTTCATACTGATTACACTTTAAAGGTTTTTTTTTTTTAGGTTGAATTAAAATGTTACTAAGTTATAGTTTGCAGATCATAGACTGTAGAGTCTAGCTCTTTTCTAAGTAAATTCAAAGGTCATTTTTTTTTGAAAATGCAATCATATAGTATGTGGTTTTTTACATTTGCTTTGTGCACATGTATGTGTGCACACATGCATAGTATGATGTCTTCAAAGTTTGTTCTTATAATATGTAGCCTTTCAGTTATTTTTATGATCCAATAAGCATTCAGTGGTATAGAGTTACAAAACTGTATTAACTTAGAAATATTTGAGTCATGTCTACTTTTGGCTATCATAAATCACGACTAAGAACATCAGTGTACATGTTTTGTATGAATATGTTTTCAATTCTCTAGGTGGACGCAGGAGTGAAATCTCTATGTCTTATGGCAAAGCTTTCTAACTGTTACTCAGTAAATGTTTTAAGGAACTGCCAAGCTATTTTCCAAAGTGACTAAACCGTTTTCCATTCCCACCAGCAAGGTCAAAGAGCTGTAATCCCTACGTGTCACTCCCAGCACTCTTCATTTTTGCCCTGTTTGTTTTGAGACAGTCTCACTATGCAGCCTTGGCTTGCCTCAAACTCATAGACAGCCATCTGTTTCTGTCTCCCAAGTGCTGGGATTAAACATTTGTGCTACCACATCTGGCCATTTTTGTTTTTGCTTTTTTTAATGGACATTTTAGTCAGTATGAGGCAGGAATGCAATGCAGTTGTGATTTGCATTTCTCTAATGACAAAGTACCTATTCATGTGCTTGCTGGCCATTTATGTAGGAGACTTCTCTGGAGAAATGTCCAAAGTTCTAACTGGTTTTAATTTATTATTGTGTATGATATGATGTGTGTATGAATACAGGCACACATGCCACATCGCACATGTGAGGTCAGAGGACAACTTTTGGGGATAGATCCACTCCCCCTACTATGGGTTCCAGGCATGATGGCACACTTCCATAACCAACACTCCTGGGAGATAGAGGCAGGATGATCTAGAGTCCAAGGCTAACCTTGGCTACATAGTGTGTCTGAGGGTATCCTAGGCTATTTGAGACCCTGTAACAAACAAAAAGCCCTCCAGCAGAGCTGGGAATGGTGTCATATCTGTGACCCCAGCACTTGGGAGTCAAAGGCATGAGGTCGTCACTACAGGTCTGTGGCTACCTTGATCTACAGAGCAAGATCCAGGCCAGCCAGAAGACTGAGACCCTGACTCAAGATGCTGCAAAGCACATCCCCAAAGCAAATCTTCATTAACATAGATTCACACGGATGCCAACAGGAGGGAGAGGGAGAGAAAAAACAACCAGAAAACAGACTAATTCTCAACTGGGAAAGATTTAAGGCTGCAGGAGAGATTGGTTAACTGTCTGGAGACATTATTGGTTGTCAAAACTTGTCTGTGTACCTAGAGATTACTGAATGGAAGCCCAGAAAAAGTGCTACACACTACAATACATAGGACAGCTCTGCCAAGCAACCATGTTGACTCAAAAACTGCCGATGCAAGGGAAACAGTGTCAGGGTACTGAAGGGTGATGAGTCAACTGAGAGCAAGGAGCCCATCCACCCTAGCCTCCAATTCACCCTTCAGTTAATGCACTACAATATGGCAAGTCTTTACAACAGCAACCACTTAACAGACTTCTCAGCAAAGTGTGCTGAGATGGCAAAGCAAAAGGCTCTTCTGTAGTTTCCAACGGCTGCAAGATGGGTCAGAGCCACTAGGGTAAGAACAGTAAAGGAGATGCCACTCCTGTCATATGTGTCAGCTGTGTAGTCTTCTTAGGAAGACAGAAGTCAGCACGCAGAAAGCTTCCTGTCTGTAAACACAGTGGAGGCACTACAGGGCCTTCTGGGTCCCTACTGTTCACCAACTACGTTACCCTGACTACTGGTGGGTTACAGTGGCCTGGGAAAGGGACAAGCCTCTCTAACTCAGGTGTTAACTCCACTCCCCACTGAGGTTGCACCCCAGCCACGGGAAAGGGGTACACACAAGCTTTTCTTATCCAGCCTTACGTAGCACATAACTCATTCTCTGTAAGACTTTAATTTTTAAGTGTGGTTTCTATCTCTTGAGCAGGGGCTGATGAGAAGGCTCGGTGAGTAAAGCCCCTTGTCCCCAAGACTGACAACCTGAGTCCGATCCTGGGACTCACACTGTGGAGAAAATCAAACTCCTGCAGGTTGTCCTCTACCTTGTAACACACATACACACATACACACATACACACATACACACAAATTAAATGTAATAAAAAACTAAAACCACAAAGAATCTGTATTAGTTACTTTTAAACATTCTTAGAAAATATGTATTTTCCAAGCAGTGCTAGAAGTACTGTGACCAAGAATAGACTTTTTTAATTAATTAATTAATTAATTAATTAATTTTTTGAGACAAAACTTCTAGTCTGTATTCTCAGCTATCCTGGAAATCACTGGTAGGCCAGTTGGCCTTTAACTTACACCAACCCTCCAGGCTTTGCCTCCTAGGTGCTAGGATTACAGATATGTGCCACCACGCACAGCCTGAGTAATTTTTATAGTTATTAAAAGACACAAATAAAAGTCAAAGAATGGCAGCCTAAGAGAAGATGTAACCAGGTGTCTCCACACTTGCAGTTTGTAATGATGGTCCTTACAGATACCCATCAAAGATTAAAACTAAAAACAAAAGAAAACACCCAGAAGAGCTTATGCAGAACATTACCAGTTCATGAGCCCTGCACGGTGGTTCATGCCTATGATTCTAGCCACTGGACACCTGAGGTGTGTGTGTGAGACACGCACAGTGGACACCTGATGTGTGCTTTGTGAGACACGCACAGTGGACACCTGAGGTGTGTGTGTGTGAGACACGCACAGTGGACACCTGAGGTGTGTGTGTGAGCACA